GCCCCACCCAAAAAAGAAGCGAGATAAAAAAATCTGCCATACGCAACATTCACATGCCACGAAGCTACCAGAGTTTAGCAAGGTTCTACTACCACAGAGTGTCTAAAAGTACTGCTACTCCACCCTGGACAGTATGCTAGCCCACAGGGTTACCCAAACTGAATTCATCAAGCTTCCCAAACAGTTCACTGCATGCTACTCAATTGTACTCCTGAATGGAGAGAGGCAATGTCACAATAGAGTGTCTTTCCCAAGAGCACAAAACAGTGACCAGAGTCCAGAGTAGTACTCACTTGGCCACCATGTCTCACATAACTTTGCATGGTTTTTCTCATAGTATTCAGCTTCTTTGATCATTCCCTGTTGTTCTGACAAGCCTTTGTGATTACTTTGCCCTTAATATCAACACACTAAATTGAAAATCACTCTCAGTAAAATGATAGGTAAGGATATTTTTCATTTACGCACTAATAATACTCAATGAATGAAGAAGCTCTTTAAACCCCATTATTAGCCAAACTTACTAACTAATAAGAAAAATCAAAGAACATCATTTTAACCTTTAACATTGCAATCCAGGACACATTGTCATGTTCTTCATCCACACCATCAAAAGGCTGATATTGAAAAACACTGTTGTAGTGTAACAAGAAGAGTCGCAATGCATCAAGATCTGATTTGTCAACAAGACCATCAAAGACGGCAATTTCTCGACCCTGACTGTCATGGAACCTCCTCTTCTCATATTTACTCAAGTCCATTGCAGGAAGGTTACCCTCATCTGAAAGGGCAAATCCTAGAGTTTCCTGGCTTTCTGATTTTTCAATTAATCTCTGTTGGAGTTCAGAGGAGATAGAAGCACTTGGTTAGTTCAATATTTCAGTAGAGGGCTAATAGTATTCTTTTAAGTCACTAGAACCTACATTTTGTACACCAAAATTTACCCTGGATGTTCAAATTGACAGATATAATGATTGCACTTATATTTATTTCATTGTATATTGTAGAAGATTCCTACACAATAAAGAAGAATCTTCAGAAATATGCCCTGCTCCCATTATGTGGCTTTGCAGCTAAGTTGGTAGCAGTGTTCAACAAGTGTCTGGGAGGCAATTTTTGGATTCAAATTTCTCTTCAATCTGAGAGAAGCTGGGCTCACTGCTGTAAATTATTGTGTGTTGATCTGGATTCATGAAAGGCTAAAAGCTATGACTAAAATTTCTGATTCCCCTTGATTTGCCTTCTAAAGAATGGCCAAAGACCACATAGGACAAATATTGGACAGTTGAGGTTCAACATAATACCTTTGTTTCGGCAATAGCTTGTTTTGCTTTCTCTTTTGATGTTGTTACTCTTACAAGAATGTCAAATTGGGCTTGTACATATGACATTGCGGGAGGCTTGAAGATAAATGGAACTGTTGCATTCCAGACAACCATGCGTCCCATTTTGGGGTAAACGGCAGCTAGAATATCTCCATTGTCTTTGTAAAAAATAGCCTCCCCGTAATCATTTCTCTTGAAGTCTTTATTCAGAGATATTCTGATGATAAGTTCATCTTCACCTATATTGTTCCCTGCAAAAACATTAGAAAAAAAAGTAAGAAATAATTATGCAGTCAATAACAAGTTAATTAGTGAGTTATTATAAGCATATTGAAATCATGCGAGTTTTGGCAGTCCTGAGAAACACTATTGCCTTGATGACATGCCTTTTGATATCCTTGACGATGATCATTATCATAACCACATGACAGTTTGCAACTGTCAGTTGAATACAGTCCAACCTCAACAAAAGACCACTTCTCCACTATAGCTCTTTCCCTATAAAGGTCTCATTTATGATTCCAGAAGACAGCTCATACATTTGCTATTATGCCACACTCTCAACAATGGCCACCTCTCCAGAATGACAACAACCTTTACAACATATACCAAGTCTGCAAATAACCTTTTACCAAGGACTTGTTTCTACAGGAACCAAGTTAGGTTTCTATACTTTCAAGCTAGATATATATCTTATTAACCAAGCGTGAGGGCTGTACTGGGAGAATATTGGCCTGAGGTCTTGACAGTACGGACCGAGCACAGCGAGGTCCGTACAAAAAAGATTGAGGGCTGATATTCTTCCAGTATGGTCCCGCGCAAGCTTGGTTAATAAGAGATTTATTATATGACTGAAGTTCAAAGGGAAACAAGTGCGGTATCATTCGGGACCATTCAGGACAGTGCCCGCTCCAATACTTAGAGAATATTGGACCGGCAATAGATCATTTTGATTGGTTGATTTTAGTTATTGGCCCTCTGACTGCTTGAGTCGTGTAATAAGATAGGAGTATTGCTCCTTCTATGTCAGGTTTTTGTGAAAGTTTCTACACTCCAAGCTGTAGCAATTTTGGTAGCCCTGGTGGGCAGAAAAAGAAATCTGTCACCTACAATAAATAGCAAAAGTAGTATTTATTCTTCTATAAGCTGAGACCCTAAACTTTGGTCTGTTTTAATCAGGAAGGTTCTTAAAAACATGTAAATTGAAAATAATCGGCTATAAGCGGAGACCATATTCAGAGAATTCCATTCTCGAACAAACTGAAATGAACGCAAAAGTTTCGAAACAGAACAGAGTTTCAATGGAGTATTGCGGCCGAAAACAATTCGAAGATAACCAGAGAGTATGTCATCAGTGAGTCGCTTGAGGAAAGATCAAGAGAATCTCTTTAATGGAGAGCTCGAGATGTCAGCGAAACGCACAACGATGGGCCGTTACACTCCGAAATATCCGCGGCTGGATGAGAGATTACTTTACTGGTTTACAGAGCAGAGAAGCCAAGGTAAGTATCTTTTTACGTGATCGGAAATTTCAACACCGTGACATGTGATGAGTTTGTTTACCAATCGTGGGAATGGGCAATTCTGATTGGTCAGTTTCAAAATTCTTAAATCACTTTTGCAAGATCTATACACTCATTCAAAACCTGCAGAATCTTAAAATACTCTAGACGGCATGGACGATGAAGCAATCTACTCGGAAAAAATGGCAGAACTAGCAGATGAGGAGGAGATGGATGACAAATTCCACGCCAACACTGAAGACAAGCAGTAAGNCAATGGTCTAAGCTCTTGAACGAGCATGGTGCCCTATACTTTTTATCATATCATTTTGGTGTACAAATTGTCCCCTTTAAATTGAATAAATGAAAAAAAAGATCATTGATGGGAAAAAAAGATATTGCTAAAAATGTGCACAAAGGCTGTTACTCAAGGATGCAAATTATGACCTTAAAGGCAACAACTTGAGGAATGTTTTGAGCTGATGTCCTTTAAAATTGCGTGATTTATCCATAAAACATAATATCAAATTGTTCCATATGACCAAGACATTCTATCATCAAGTTTTTTTTAAGTGTTACTGAAAAACCCTTTCTTCCAACTACTGTAAAATATGCCGTGAACTGATGAAATGATGTGTGTGATTAGTGCTAGTAGAGGCATTAATCCTTGAACTCCCATGAGTGACAAAAGTTGAGAGTAGGATGTATCAACCTTTTCCATCTCCAAACATGATTATATAAAGTTAATTCCATGGAAAGTGCCCACAGACGCTCTTTATTCTCAAGTTGGGATACATGCAGTTTTTTCATGCACTGCAACATATGAATAAAAATCACTCAAGCACTTTCTGTGGTGTAATGTTTTTACTTCATACACACTGAGATTTTTTGTTATTGACCAATACATTTGAAAGATCGGAAACACACAACTGTGAAAATACATTACTTGTCTGATCAGAGACACCAACAATACTACTTCACAATGTAAATATCAGTATGTATGAATTATAATGAAATTTCTCTTGACAATTTCCATACATTTTCCATCAATGAGGGAAAAGAATAAGTTCTAACAGTTTCAACTGGAGATTTTCTCTTGATAAAATACCCTATTCTTCTACTTCATTTACAAGGATACCTGCAGTAATTTGGAAGGAGAATTGCAAATCAGACTTGGTGAGTTGAAACCTCACTATATCTACTGGGCAACATAGCAACTTATATAATCCTGAAGTATTCACTCACAACTGTTGGGCATTACAATCGAGGATTAAGCTTTCAAAAATAATGAACTGTATAGTTGTATAGTTTGAGGGCAACTATACTGAGGGCAACAAACAAAAGAAATTATCAATGTTAATTTACACCTAAAACTTTCCTTTTCTTTGCGATGAACTTCATTGTTTGCATTAATGTTAATTGTTTCAAAATAAAGAACATGAATATCAGACTTGAAAAAAAAAAAAAAACTTAGTTTCATGATGAGTTAAATTCTATAGATATTTTCCTTACCCTTGCTAGTGGCAGTTATAAAATCCAGTCTGCGATGCATTGAGAAAGAGACATCGTATGGAAAATATTCTCTCCCTCCAGACAACTTTTCGACGACTTCGCGGCTTATGTTCCACAACATTGTATCAGAGAAAAACTCTGGATTGACTGGAGCTACCCACGGCGAATTACTTGATGTATTAAAAGTCTCAACGTTTTGATAATAATCGTTGTATGTGTAAAACCACGAAGAGATCTTCCCTGCTAATTTCCCAGAGGTGACAAGGCCATAGTATCCACGAACAACTTCTGACGGGAAGAGATTGTCGATAACAAATAGGTGTCTTTCTCCGTCGAGATACCTTCGTGATAATTTTGGTTTTGTTTGACTTGAGGAACATGAAGATAGCAAAAGAAAGTAACTAAAAAGTACTTGATAAATCATTTCGTTTTAAAACTTGGTCTCTTATTGCAGAAAGGAAGCTTCCTTTGTTTCCTTTGTTGAAAAAGCTAATCTTTCAGGAAACATTCAGAAAATAACAGGCTCTGGCTGAACTTTAGAGTGTAGGCTGGGGCGAACAAAGAACTGACACCACCCACGTGATCTTCTAGGTCTTCATTTACCTAGCATATTGTGCGGCACCTGGCGAGATTTCCAACGTGAACACTTCAATTACTCGTCAAGATCTATATAACTTAGGCTTCAGTTCCAAAGGAAACGCACGGGTTGAAATAGAGCTTCCTTTTTTTTTTTTTCGTTCAGTTGCAAATCGCAGTCAAGTCCTTAACACGCATGCGCGATAGACAAAGAAAATGAAAACAGGAGCAAGTAACACTAGAATTCGAGGAAAATAAACAAAGTGACGTAAGTCTGAATAGAATGATAATTGATGACTATGAAAGAAAAAGGTACGGCAATAAATATGCTAAAAGACTATTAACTCAAACTGGTCAGATTTAAATCACAAGAGACAAAGTTTTGACTCCAGGTCCATGCAGTGGACTGACATAACGTAACGTTAAAGTCACGATGCTTTCAGTTTTCGTCATTAGGAAAACAAAAAACCGTTTATCCTTTACTTCACGACTCGTCTCATTTCTCTAATCTCGGCAACAATACAAGAATGGGCTTAGAGTCGAGTTTTACAACAACAGAGATAATGTCAGAGCCCAAGCGAAGTTACGGAACCCATGGGTGTTAGTCTTTCCTCTCAGTACTTGTACTAGATAAAACAAATAAATAAATAACTAAATAAATAAAAAAAATAACTTTATTTAACGAGGGAAGCACTTTACATTCTTAGACTGAGAAACCTGTGGCCCTCACCTAAATTACCATAAGAAAAGTTACAAACAATAGCAATAATTTAGAAATTTCTAACTATAGTAATTACAATAATAGGAAATGACCTAACTATCAACATGCAATAAAAGAATAAAAGTTAAGAATATTAGGATATTCGAAAATGATCAATATTAGCGTACCCCTCCTTTATGTGCTCAATAAATTTGCGTTTAAAAGAGTTGATAGTTTCGCTAGATCTTATTTTAACAGGTAAAGAGTTCCATACTAGAATTGATGAGAAAAAGGTTTTACCCCCTTCTGTTTTCCTGTTGTACTTGGGGCAGCGTAGTGTTATGTGCCCATAACGCGAAGATCTTTCTGATGTATCACTTAAAAGGACTAACTTAGTGCGCAGATATTCTGGGCATTGCCCCTGTGTACATTTAAAAATAAGACATAGGTTGTTAACGTTAATTTCATCAGATACAATGAATATATGAAGTTCATATATTTTGAACTGCGGTATTAGATACGTATGATGCACGATCCTCGCAGTAGATAGCGCTATTTATGCAATAGCGAAAAAAAAAACATAAAAAAAATCAGGCCTGTACGGGACTCGAACCACTGACCTCTGCGATACTAGTGCAGCGCTCTACCAATTGAGCTAACAAGTCAACTGGGAGCAGGTCGTTAAGTTGATTCGTAATAAACCTATATTCTTTAATTTCCGCAAATCTCAGTGTTGTCTAAAGTTTGCGAAAGAGTCGTACATAATCAACTCACTTCACATCTACAATCAAATGACACCCAATCAAAAACCCAAAGCGGTAACAACAAATGGCACTCGTGTGAAACATCTGTCATCGAAACTACTGATACAATTCTTAACGCTATCGATAAAAATAAGCTAACTGCTATTGTGTTCTTAGATATGAGTAAGGCCTTCGATAGAGTCAATCACGAGACATTAATTTTAAAACTGCAAGACTTTGGAATCTCCTGGGACGCTCTCCGATGGTTTCGCAGCTACTAAACCAACAGGGAACAAGTAATACGAATCCACTCAACGCTGTCTGAGCCTTTGCCCGTGATCAGCGGTGTACCTCAAGGGAGTATTTTGGGCCCTTTATTATTCTGCACATACACGAACGATCTTCCCTCGATACCACAGTCATGCTGCACTCAGAGTTACGAAGATGATACAAAACTCATTACTTCCTTTCAACTAAAAGACAACTTGGATGCAGTTACGGCTTTGAAAGATGACTTGCTCAAAATAGGAGAATGGTGTTCTAACAACCACTTGTTACTCAACCTTGGCAAAACCAAGTTCATGATATTTGGTAGCAGGCAAATGCGTGCAAAATTGCAATTTCACTCCCTTCCCTTTATGGGAAGAGACATTGTCCCCTCAGACCCTGCTAAAGACTTGGGCGTGATTTTACATTCCCATCTAACTTACGATGAACACATAATTAAGACCGCGTCCTCATGACGGTCCCGCCTTGGCCAAATAAACCGCGTTACCAATGTTTTAGATAAAAGTACACTCCTGTTGATTATTAACTCTTTAGTTTTTAGTAAACTATTTTATTGTCCTAATGTATGGGCAAATACATCGAAATGTAATATTAACAAACGGAAGGCTGTGCAAAACTTTGCCTGCCGCATTGTGAGGGGAGCGCCGATCATATCCCGCCCATTCGTAAAGAGCTTAACTGGCTATCTGTGGCTAACCAGCTACGCCGAGTGCTACAATGGCCTTTAATTGCCTGACGGGCCACGCCCCTAAATACATGTCCCCAAGTTTCTTAAAGCGAGCAGAGGTGAACGGTCGTACTACAAGACTCGCAATTGCTGAAAATTTCTACTTTTTAAAACCGCTAGTGGCCAAAGAACTTTTTATTATAGAATAGTTAAGTTATGGAATTCTTTAGATTACTCTCTTAAATTGTGCGATTCAGTCACTGTCTTTAAAAATCGCCTGAAAACTAAACTACTCAAAGAAATGTAATTTTCTATTTATATATAATTTTTTATAATTTTTAGAACCTTCTTAGTATATGTTATGAGTCCTAGGATCGTATTTTAGTCATTGTTATTCTTATTTGTGACTAGTAACTCTTGTCAATTTTCTTCGAAAAGCCTCCTTTGGGGAAAGTCAATAAAGTATGTATGTATGTATGTATGTATGTATTCTTTGTTTGTATTAGTGATTTCAAGTAGCACACCGTTCATTACACATTTATCCCAGTTCTAGTTCACCTCGGTATTCTTCTCCATTTCAATCATTTTGTACTTTGCCTCTGTTTCGTCTGTACTCTGACTTTGGATCTTTTCGCTAATCTTCTCTTTTTTTTTCATTATTTTTTCTTCTCTTTCCTTTGCTCTGCTATAGCTATATATTGTTCTGTGATATGCTTATTGGCTCTTCTAAGTATGTGATATCACTCAATCTCTGCATGAGATTCCTGCTGCGAAGTTAGCAAGTCTCCCAGCGATGACTTAATCATAAGAAAAATTATCACATTGACAAGTTTGTTAAAAACATTATTCACGGATATTCATTACTGTAGAATTATAAGATGGGAATAAGATTGTAATAATTTCAGCATTGCGTGACAAATGCTTGAGCGTGTTTCATTTACACTAGTATCAGATTGCTTCCCGTCTTCAACGTCTTCGGCAAAGAACATTTGACCTACTAGTATAAATGATTGTATTGTCCTCTTTCGATTCCACAATGAAGCTCAATTTTACCCTAGAACTTTCTTAAAACTTTAATGTGTTCGAATATGCAAGAAAAATGGACGCCCTCCACTAGCTTACGGAATGTAATATTGTAAACAATTTCGCCTTTGCAAGTCCGGATAAAAAAAACCTTGCTACGTTTCTATTATTCACCATAAGGTGTCTCTGACTGAAATATGAGGATAGTTATTTTTCGGTTGATGTGCCACCTCTCACGCGGTCTTGGAAAACAGTCGCTCTTAACACGCATGCACGACAAACGAAGAAAATCAATAAGAAAAACGGGAGCGAGTAACGCTAGAATTCAAGGAAAATAAACAAATTAAAATAAGTCTAAATAGAATGATAATTGATGAATATGAAAGAAAAAAGGTACCCCAATAAATATGCTAAAAGGCTATTAAACAGAAATCGCCGCTAACTGGAACTCCCAAGAGAAACGAACTTGGTGCGAGCAAGAAAGGAAGCGCGAACCATCGAGTTATCGGGATGGGCGTTGAATTTTCAGTTATCCTGTTCGTCATCATTAAACATTAAACTTCCAAGATCTAATTGTTGATTTTCCCATCTAGCTGCTACACATTTCCTTGAAAATTATTAACGGGAATTTCGTCCTAGATCAAGGTAACTAGGAATGAAGAAGAAAATCAACTGAACAAAGCCAGAGATACAAAAGGACAGTTTCCACAACACTGAGGGTACAAATGGCGTCACTGGCTTGTTATCTTCCTTATGGTTTAGTTGCTTTTATTTCTATCTGTGGAAAGAACGCACCGTTCCTTAACTTCGAATTCGCGTGGGCTCTGACATTATCTCTGTTCTTGTACAATTCGACTCTAAACCCATTCCTGTATTCTTGGAAGATAAGAGAAATGGGACGAGCCATGAAATAAGTACTGAAAGCTTTTTGTTTTCCTAATGACGAAAACTGAAAGCATTGCGACTTTACCATAACGTTATGTCAGTCTACTGCACGAACCTGGGGTTAAATTCATATATAGCTTACGGCAAGAGACTATAAACTGAGATTATAGACCCATGATAATATTTTAAAGTCTATTGTAAATTTCTCTCCACGCTGAGAAGTATCTCTTTTGTACCTCCCATCATAACGCGGTCAACGACTCCATATCATCTGTCGTTACTATCACATTAATGGATGCGGTTTAAGATTAATTCAAACTGATTCCTCTCAAAATATTTTTAAGTTTGACACAGGAAAAAGTTGGGGATGAGGAGGATAAAAACGTGAAACATAGATTAGACGATAAAGAATAGCGAAGAGGGAGAGGAAAGAACGAGTGAACGGAATTGCAAAAAGAAAGGAAGGGTAAAGTAAATATAAGATAAATCTAGAAATGTAAAGCAAGACACAGATTGTAGAAAGTGAGTTGTAGATACGCCTACGTAAGAGTAAAGGCACTTAGGAAGGAAGAGGAATCCATGAACACGAAAGGTAAACAAGCTAAGTGACACGGAACAAGTAAGGAGGAAAATCTCTTTAC